CTATAAAGAGAAACGACATAGGTTGTTTTTTATAATACACTTCGGTTTTCGAACCAAGGCCTATACTAGCGAGGTAAAAAGGTGGGGACTTTTGGCCTCGGTTCCAACCGAGATAATATGCCCAAAGTTTCTACTTCGGTTATTCTGCACCCGAGGTAATAACATGGGTCTATGGCAGCGATTCAGGCTAGAATCGATGTCAAAACCCTTTATTTTTTATTTTTTAAAATCACGTGCTCTTATATAGAATTTTTAAATAAAACCCAACTCGAACGTAAATTCCCAAAACCAGAACAATTAAAACCCTAATTACAAATCTCAAATTGCAAGAAAATTTTGCAAGCACAAAAACCCCAAATTTCCAAATCATAATCCAAAACCCTTGCTCTAAAACGCACGAATTAGATTAATAAAAAATTCCCAAATCGGTACGAGGTCAAACGCGACTTCCCTTCATTGCGAAGACACTAGAACACAAACCCTCGCGGAGGGGTCACTGCTACCACATCTCGAGAAAGAAAGATGCACCTAAGCTGTCGAAGTCGCCTCCCTTCTTGCAAAAACGAACCAACACCGAGAAGGGGGAAGGGAGTCTTCCCTCCATGTGAAACACGAACCAGAGTTGGAGAAGAGGAAAAGGAGGTTCGCGCCTCCCTCACTGCGGGGTGAAACGAAACAAGAAGAAAAAAAAAAGATGAAGATGGGTACTTCCCCCTTCTTGTGAAGACACGATTGAGGAGTGAAGAAGAGAGGGCGAGAAAGAGAGCAACGACGCAATTTAAATCTAAACGAAGGCCTTCTATCTAAAAATGTCTTTGTTCGCGAAATTTAAGCCTAAATGCATGTTATTACTTCGATTATATAAAGAACCGAGACCTAAAATGCCCAGAAAAAATATTCAAAAATTATATTAAATGACATTTTTGCAATTTTAATGAACCTTTTTACCTTGGTTCCAAGGAGAACCGAGGCCATAGCCCCCTTTCAAAAAGTCTGTAAGTTCAAAAGTCAAAGTACAAAGCGGGAATGTTAGTGGAGCGGAGGGGTTTTGGCCTCAGTTCTGAGAGTAACCGAGGCCAAAAACCATGTGAGGCTGAAGATAGGATTCTCAGTTGGAGTAGGGGGGTTTAGCCTAGGTTCTGAAGATAACTGAGGCCAAAAACCATGCACAGATATATTTGTCAGCTAAAAAATCTTTTCTTGGGAACTTTCGCAGGCTTTATGGCCTCAGTTGCCCTTGTAATCGAGACTATAGCTTCTCTATGGCTTCGGTTGAGATAGAACCAAGGCATAAACTTTTCCAATAATTTCAAAAATGTCATTGTCTCATTTTATGCTTTGGTTTATGGCCAACCGAAGCATAATGAGCGCGTTAGTAGCCCCATTTTTTACTAGTGATGTTTAAGGCCTGCAACACAAACTAGTACTCAAGACCACTCTGATACCGCTTAATGTTGTATCAGTTGATAACAAATACATTTATGTAATTTTAAGTAAAATTGGACCTACTTAATTGATCAAATTGATATCAAAATGACATTTTCTAAATTTTTAAAGAATAAAATGTGTGATTTCATCATAAACTTTAAAGAAAATTATTTTAAATGAAAATAATATGATCATTAATATATTTAATTCATAGCCTTATATATATATATATATAAATTTTGATGATTATATAATCATTAATATATTTTAATTTGTAATTTAAATGAAATTTTACGTAATATAATATATAGAATTGATATTAAAGGAAAAAATTATGATTAGATTCTTGAAATAGACACAATTGATTGCATTATATTTTTAATACACAAATTTCTTAAACTATAAATGGAAACAACTTTATCATTAATGCATTTCCATTGACAATTTAATTGAATCATTACAATAGAAAGTATGAAACTAATCATTGGCAATGAAGATAAATATGGTGTACTTAGTAAAAAAAATCATACGAAGGTCTGTACTAAAATGCATAACATCATTCTTTCCCAAACCTATAAAGTATAAAGCATGAGTAGGTAATTTGCATTTTAACAACTAATAGTGATTTAGGTTGACTGCGTGATGAGGACGGTGGCGTATAGGAATCTAGTAGTTGGTCGACAAGAGAAAACATGTGACAGTTAAAAAGCATAAGGCTCTCCATATAAATTAACAATTTTAGGCTAATCAAGTCCTCCTAAACTTGTCAGTTAGGTAACGTAAAAATAGAAACTATAGTCATGTGAAAAAAAAATTGCTTCCAACAATCTTGTTCCACTTTGTTTCTTCAACCACTTCTTTTTCCTGTAACGGCCACGAAGAATGAAAAAGATTTCTTAACTGACACAATTTATTAGTCTTTTTTAACAAAAATATTAAATTTATTTTTAGTTTTTAAACAGTAAAATTAAGCAAAATTAAAATTTGTTAATTAAAGATGAGAGTTAGCAATTCCCTCATCTGCTGATCAGATAGTCATTTGATTGATGGGATAATCATATAATACAGAATTAAAGAATTAGAGTTGGATTGCTCATCATATAGTCATATAATATAGAATTAAAGACGGAAAAAATAATAAATTTAAATAGTTATATGAACCTTTTGAAACTACCAAAGAAAGGTAAATATGGAGATATATTTAATGAAAAATATATTTTTAACAATTTTTTTCAACAATTTATGTGATAATTTGTAATTGATTCATTTCAATAAAATAATGAGATGTAATTCATTATAAAAAAATTGTTAAAAAAAACTGTTAACATATTCTTTAAACTTTCTAATTAAGTGAGAGTTATAATGAGAAGGTGGTGCTTTTACATTCAGCAATGCAATGAGAAAACCATGGTAATTTATTTCTATGGTGCTAATTTGACGGTGGTGCACTAATCATGGTGGCTCTTGAGCATTTTCGTACAAATAATGATTTGAGTAATGGAAAAAGATGGAAAATGATGGTGGGTAGTTGGAAACTTGTAGTGTATGATTAGGTTCTATCCAACGAACCAATATTGGTAAACAATCCAAATCCATACAGAGTTACATAATATGACATGTTAACGAATCGACTTACATTATTATTATAACTTCAATTGCCCACCCTTCTTAATAGGTTTATTTACACTTGTCCATGTCCTAGGTATAGGTATAGTAATAACTTCCTTTGGCCCAAGAATAAAACTATAAACGAAATGTAGAATTACAGTTTACTTAAACTAGAAAAATTAAATAGGATTCTTGAGTACAATCAAATTTTAGATATCCTTATTCTCTATTTCTTTTAGAAAGTAGGGATATAATTAACATTGGCCTCTGCTATGCAATTTCAAGCCTTTCAAAATATTCATCTCTACCCAGTACACTGCTCTCAACACTACATTTCTTCTATTTATATGTCTCTACTCATATATAAGAAGAATTTTGTTTATTTTAGACTCTAGTTATATATGTATTAAAGACTTTTTTTTTACACCAGTTAATTAATTTAGGCTTAATTTAACTTTTACATAAATTTTAACATTTTTAAATTGAGTTTTTATTAATTACAGTCTTTCAAGTGAAAAATAAATAAACAAGATAGCAAAATAATATAACAATCATATTAATAAGTTGACTGAAAAATACAAAACTTTTAATAATAACTAAATAATTTTAATTAAAAGTGGTCAAATGGATCAATTTAGAAATCAGTTTAACTTGATTGTTATTCTACAATCAATTTAATAAAAGATATTTTTTATTTACACATACATACATATATACATTAATATATATATATATATATATATTAAAAATAATTTATTCATATAAATATTTTTTATTTTTTAATTAATTAGTTGATTAATATCTATTATTATATTTATATATTAAATTATTCATTTATATTTAATAGTTAAAATTTAATTAATAAATTTTAGTAATTTAAGTTACAATATTAAAACAAATTTGTACCACTTAAATAATGTAATAAAAACATTAATATTTTAAATTATTTCTAGTTTAATTTTTAATTGAAAGAATAATTTCATCCCAACTTCTTGTACTCTTTTTCGGCGGAACCAAAATGGGATCAGAGTGAAAAGCCCCCTCGGCTCTTACTTCCTGAACTCCCTTTATTTTTCTCCTGCACCTCCCCTACGTTTTGGAATATCCATTTCTACCCCTATGTAAATAGTAAATAGTAAAATGAAACCTTAATTTTACAACCCTATCTTTTACCTTCCGCCGCCGCAGCTCCCTTCCTTGACTCTCCTCTACACCTCCCTCCCGCTGTAGTGGTTTTCTGCAATTCCATTGCTTTTTTTTTTTGAAACGAAGGCGTGCTCTCCTCCTCTCTTCAACCAACAGTGAGTTGTTGCACCTCCATTGCTTTTTTTGCGTGCATCAGTGAGTCGCTAAATCCCTGCATCTCCCTTTTTCGGATTTGGCATTCCGTAATATATTTCCTGATTATATAATGTATTTTGGATTGATCATTTCAGAATACAATAATATGTTTTGGACTGTGTAATCCGGTGGTACTCAGATCAATTAATCCGATAAACATATTTCTGTTCCGATTGTTGAATTCGGTGAAAATGGTTAGGTAGATGCTTCTGATTGGGAAATTCCATGACAAACCTGGATATTATAGAGGTATCAAGACTCTGGCTTCCTCTCTGTAACATCCGCAAAGCAATAATTTTGTAGCAACATTGCATGATATCAAACACTTTTACATTCTCTGTGCTCTGCTGCTTTCACCTATCATTCTATTCTAACTCCATTTCCATCCTTAAGACGTGATAATTAATCTAAATGTAGGATCCATTTAAGAAAACGCGACGAGATAACAGGTGCAGTGTGGAAGGGCACCAAGAGTAGACATCTGTTTAATGGCGAACGACGTCAAACTTATCATTTTATTTACAAAAACACTATCGGTCGATGGTTTTTTTCTTAGACAGACGTTGCATCGTTGTACCCTTTTTTGTGTTAGTGAAATAGATGAACGAAAGACGATAACAGTCCTAATCCTTTATAATTCAAGTTAAACATAATGTTCTTGTACATATTTCATTACTTGAGAAGCTTCAAACAACTACAAGCTACAAAGAAACTCAATTTTTCATTATTTCAGAAGCTCCATTCTTTATTCCCAGTATTTATTCTTCAGATTCGATTCAATATGGTTACTAACTAAAACAGAAAATTTATCACTTTGTGTTATTGAAGGTAGACGATGGTGGAGCTTCCAGACGAATATAATCATACATAATTGCCTGAAATGGACTATTTCCTCTGCTCTGTGTCAAAAAGATGGTATTATCTCCTTCAACAAATTGAGTTCCTGCAATGTCTACATTGTAAAGCCAATAAAGTCCATGAATTCCATGCCTTGCGATCGAGTTATCCCTTCCTATCAACCCACTTGAAAATAGAGGACGAGGGCTCTTTGGATTATTAACTCGAACCTAAAATTGTAGTAAACATTAATTAATATAGGTTAAGACTATAAAACTTAGACTAATGAAGTTAAGAAATTTACCTGAAGTTCAGATAATGTTGCAGATGCCAAAGCCACCCGCAGTTTATAGCTACTGGTTTTGTTCACCTGATCAAGTTGAAACTTGATCTGCCAAGTGGTTCCTTGAAATGTGTTGTCATCTTTCTTCCTGAAAATGGGAGCAAAATGTAAAAGTCGACAATGCATTGTTAGACATTGCAACACGTTAATGATACTTTTTGAAGAAGAATCCATTTTTGGTACCTGGTAACTTGAGCAAAGAACCAATCTTTGGTGTAGTCACTGATACCAATTGTGTAGATCAGGTCTTTGTCAGGGTAGAGTTCTGCATATCTCTCCCATAATCCATATTGTCTAAACCTGCCGATTAAGATCCACTGTAAGAGTTATACATAAATAGTCTTCATTAATTTTCAAAACAGTCAAATGCAGGAGCACAAAGGTGACTTACTTGTCAGGATGATTAACAAAAAGTTTGTTGATATATTTGGGATTTGGGTCAGGAACATAGAACTCAGCAGCTGTTCGATCAGGAATGCCAATTTCCCACAATGTTGGACCATCTCTAGGGGGTTCATACACAAGCTCACCAAGGTCGATTTCACAGCCTATTTTCACGTAAACCAAATAGAAAAACTCAGTAGTTTAAAAAGAAAAACAAAAAAATTTCTTGCTTTATACCTTCTGTTATGGTCATAGCTACGTCATATTTATAGTCACCAATAAAACCAGGCACCCAGGCGTAAACATTGTAATCTCCTGCACGTACATTGGTGATGGAAAAGTAGCCATCATCGTCTGCTTTAGCCCAAAACTGATAATTCTGATGACAATTAAAATGTAATGCATCTGTTAGCTAATGGTCTTTCTATAGGCTTAAAAGTTAATAAGAGACAAACTTAAATAAGCATACTAATAAGAACATGCACACTCATTTGGTGAACATATTTTTCCTCCTTTTCAAGTCACCTTGCATTCTCTTTGCCATGATCCCACATCGCCTGGAGGAGCCAAGCCAACATAGGCACCTTTTGCTGAGATATAGTCATCATTTATACACCTATATATAGCAAAATGGAGTTAAACACCTGAACACAAGTTATTACATGTGCTTTCAATGGCCTGCAACACAAGAAAATCTGATTGCTTTCTGCACTTTCATTGTATCAATGTTGTGATTCTCTTCATACTCGATTTTCAATTATATTAGAATGGTTACAAAATTACCAGAATCTCAAATAAAATTTATCAGAACACACCTCTCTCTGACCAAAAGCCTGCCACTAACATTACCACGTTCGTCCCACTTCGCAAAATCATCTGAATCAGGGAAACTGTAGGGCCAGCTTTGAACTTCCAGCAACATCTGTAAGTTTGCATAGGCATGTGGTGGTGTCACTAAGTTAACTATACCAAAAAATCTAGCTATATATAGTTTAATATTAGATACAGAAAGCAAATATTAAACCTGTAGTTTAGCATCGTCCCATAGCTTAAGGGGGTCAACTCCATCATAGGAAGAATTCAAATAAATGAAAACAGGACCAAAAACTTTCTTCCATGCCTCACCAGCATTAAACTTAGGCACCAAATCCTCTCCAGAGTAATGTGCACTCAGAAACACCTGATTACGTTATTTTTTAGCAAAGATAATGTTTTTTGACACAAGAAACTGTCACACGGAATTATGAAACATTGCANGCACCTAAGCTGTCGAAGTCGCCTCCCTTCTTGCAAAAACGAACCAACACCGAGAAGGGGGAAGGGAGTCTTCCCTCCATGTGAAACACGAACCAGAGTTGGAGAAGAGGAAAAGGAGGTTCGCGCCTCCCTCACTGCGGGGTGAAACGAAACAAGAAGAAAAAAAAAAGATGAAGATGGGTACTTCCCCCTTCTTGTGAAGCCACGATTGAGGAGTGAAGAAGAGAGGGCGAGAAAGAGAGCAACGACGCAATTTAAATCTAAACGAAGGCCTTCTATCTAAAAATGTCTTTGTTCGCGAAATTTAAGCCTAAATGCATGTTATTACTTCGATTATATAAAGAACCGAGACCTAAAATGCCCAGAAAAAATATTCAAAAATTATATTAAATGACATTTTTGCAATTTTAATGAACCTTTTTACCTTGGTTCCAAGGAGAACCGAGGCCATAGCCCCCTTTCAAAAAGTCTGTTAGTTCAAACGTCAAAGTACAAAGCGGGAATGTTAGTGGAGCGGAGGGGTTTTGGCCTCGGTTCTGAGAGTAACCGAGGCCAAAAACCATGTGAGGCTGTAGATAGGATTCTCAGTTGGAGTAGGGGGGTTTAGCCTTGGTTCTGAAGATAACTGAGGCCAAAAACCATGCACAGATATATTTGTCAGCTAAAAAATCTTTTCTTGGGAACTTTCGCAGGCTTTATGGCCTCAGTTGCCCTTGTAATCGAGACTATAGCTTCTCTATGGCTTCGGTTGAGATAGAACCAAGGCATACACTTTTCCAATAATTTCAAAAATGTCATTGTCTCATTTTATGCTTTGGTTTCTGGCCAACCGAAGCATAATGAGCGCGTTAGTAGCCCCATTTTTTACTAGTGATGTTTAAGGCCTGCAACACAAACTAGTACTCAAGACCACTCTGATACCGCTTAATGTTGTATCAGTTGATAACAAATACATTTATGTAATTTTAAGTAAAATTGGACCTACTTAATTGATCAAATTGATATCAAAATGACATTTTCTAAATTTTTAAAGAATAAAATGTGTGATTTCATCATAAACTTTAAAGAAAATTATTTTAAATGAAAATAATATGATCATTAATATATTTAATTCATAGCCTTATATATATATATATATAAATTTTGATGATTATATAATCATTAATATATTTTAATTTGTAATTTAAATGAAATTTTACGTAATATAATATATAGAATTGATATTAAAGGAAAAAATTATGATTAGATTCTTGAAATAGACACAATTGATTGCATTATATTTTTAATACACAAATTTCTTAAACTATAAATGGAAACAACTTTATCATTAATGCATTTCCATTGACAATTTAATTGAATCATTACAATAGAAAGTATGAAACTAATCATTGGCAATGAAGATAAATATGGTGTACTTAGTAAAAAAAATCATACGAAGGTCTGTACTAAAATGCATAACATCATTCTTTCCCAAACCTATAAAGTATAAAGCATGAGTAGGTAATTTGCATTTTAACAACTAATAGTGATTTAGGTTGACTGCGTGATGAGGACGGTGGCGTATAGGAATCTAGTAGTTGGTCGACAAGAGAAAACATGTGACAGTTAAAAAGCATAAGGCTCTCCATATAAATTAACAATTTTAGGCTAATCAAGTCCTCCTAAACTTGTCAGTTAGGTAACGTAAAAATAGAAACTATAGTCATGTGAAAAAAAAATTGCTTCCAACAATCTTGTTCCACTTTGTTTCTTCAACCACTTCTTTTTCCTGTAACGGCCACGAAGAATGAAAAAGATTTCTTAACTGACACAATTTATTAGTCTTTTTTAACAAAAATATTAAATTTATTTTTAGTTTTTAAACAGTAAAATTAAGCAAAATTAAAATTTGTTAATTAAAGATGAGAGTTAGCAATTCCCTCATCTGCTGATCAGATAGTCATTTGATTGATGGGATAATCATATAATACAGAATTAAAGAATTAGAGTTGGATTGCTCATCATATAGTCATATAATATAGAATTAAAGACGGAAAAAATAATAAATTTAAATAGTTATATGAACCTTTTGAAACTACCAAAGAAAGGTAAATATGGAGATATATTTAATGAAAAATATATTTTTAACAATTTTTTTCAACAATTTATGTGATAATTTGTAATTGATTCATTTCAATAAAATAATGAGATGTAATTCATTATAAAAAAATTGTTAAAAAAAACTGTTAACATATTCTTTAAACTTTCTAATTAAGTGAGAGTTATAATGAGAAGGTGGTGCTTTTACATTCAGCAATGCAATGAGAAAACCATGGTAATTTATTTCTATGGTGCTAATTTGACGGTGGTGCACTAATCATGGTGGCTCTTGAGCATTTTCGTACAAATAATGATTTGAGTAATGGAAAAAGATGGAAAATGATGGTGGGTAGTTGGAAACTTGTAGTGTATGATTAGGTTCTATCCAACGAACCAATATTGGTAAACAATCCAAATCCATACAGAGTTACATAATATGACATGTTAACGAATCGACTTACATTATTATTATAACTTCAATTGCCCACCCTTCTTAATAGGTTTATTTACACTTGTCCATGTCCTAGGTATAGGTATAGTAATAACTTCCTTTGGCCCAAGAATAAAACTATAAACGAAATGTAGAATTACAGTTTACTTAAACTAGAAAAATTAAATAGGATTCTTGAGTACAATCAAATTTTAGATATCCTTATTCTCTATTTCTTTTAGAAAGTAGGGATATAATTAACATTGGCCTCTGCTATGCAATTTCAAGCCTTTCAAAATATTCATCTCTACCCAGTACACTGCTCTCAACACTACATTTCTTCTATTTATATGTCTCTACTCATATATAAGAAGAATTTTGTTTATTTTAGACTCTAGTTATATATGTATTAAAGACTTTTTTTTTACACCAGTTAATTAATTTAGGCTTAATTTAACTTTTACATAAATTTTAACATTTTTAAATTGAGTTTTTATTAATTACAGTCTTTCAAGTGAAAAATAAATAAACAAGATAGCAAAATAATATAACAATCATATTAATAAGTTGACTGAAAAATACAAAACTTTTAATAATAACTAAATAATTTTAATTAAAAGTGGTCAAATGGATCAATTTAGAAATCAGTTTAACTTGATTGTTATTCTACAATCAATTTAATAAAAGATATTTTTTATTTACACATACATACATATATACATTAATATATATATATATATATATTAAAAATAATTTATTCATATAAATATTTTTTATTTTTTAATTAATTAGTTGATTAATATCTATTATTATATTTATATATTAAATTATTCATTTATATTTAATAGTTAAAATTTAATTAATAAATTTTAGTAATTTAAGTTACAATATTAAAACAAATTTGTACCACTTAAATAATGTAATAAAAACATTAATATTTTAAATTATTTCTAGTTTAATTTTTAATTGAAAGAATAATTTCATCCCAACTTCTTGTACTCTTTTTCGGCGGAACCAAAATGGGATCAGAGTGAAAAGCCCCCTCGGCTCTTACTTCCTGAACTCCCTTTATTTTTCTCCTGCACCTCCCCTACGTTTTGGAATATCCATTTCTACCCCTATGTAAATAGTAAATAGTAAAATGAAACCTTAATTTTACAACCCTATCTTTTACCTTCCGCCGCCGCAGCTCCCTTCCTTGACTCTCCTCTACACCTCCCTCCCGCTGTAGTGGTTTTCTGCAATTCCATTGCTTTTTTTTTTTGAAACGAAGGCGTGCTCTCCTCCTCTCTTCAACCAACAGTGAGTTGTTGCACCTCCATTGCTTTTTTTGCGTGCATCAGTGAGTCGCTAAATCCCTGCATCTCCCTATTTAGGATTTGGCATTCCGTAATATATTTCCAGATAATATAATGTATTTTGGATTGATCATTTCAAAATACAATAATATGTTTTGGACTGTGTAATCCGGTGGTACTCAGATCAATTAATCCGATAAACATATTTCTGTTCCGATTGTTGAATTCGGTGAAAATGGTTAGGTAGATGCTTCTGATTGGGAAATTCCATGACAAACCTGGATATTATAGAGGTATCCTGGATATTATAGAGGTATCAAGACTCTGGCTTCCTCTCTGTAACATCCGCAAAGCAATAATTTTGTAGCAACATTGCATGATATCAAACACTTTTACATTCTCTGTGCTCTGCTGCTTTCACCTATCATTCTATTCTAACTCCATTTCCATCCTTAAGACGTGATAATTAATCTAAATGTAGGATCCATTTAAGAAAACGCGACGAGATAACAGGTGCAGTGTGGAAGGGCACCAAGAGTAGACATCTGTTTAATGGCGAACGACGTCAAACTTATCATTTTATTTACAAAAACACTATCGGTCGATGGTTTTTTTCTTAGACAGACGTTGCATCGTTGTACCCTTTATTGTGTTAGTGAAATAGATGAACGAAAGACGATAACAGTCCTAATCCTTTATAATTCAAGTTAAACATAATGTTCTTGTACATATTTCATTACTTGAGAAGCTTCAAACAACTACAAGCTACAAAGAAACTCAAATTTTCATTATTTCAGAAGCTCCATTCTTTATTCCCAGTATTTATTCTTCAGATTAGATTCAATATGGTTACTAACTAAAACAGAAAATTTATCACTTTGTGTTATTGAAGGTAGACGATGGTGGAGCTTCCAGACGAATATAATCATACATAATTGCCTGAAATGGACTATTTCCTCTGCTCTGTGTCAAAAAGATGGTATTATCTCCTTCAACAAATTGAGTTCCTGCAATGTCTACATTGTAAAGCCAATAAAGTCCATGAATTCCATGCCTTGCGATCGAGTTATCCCTTCCTATCAACCCACTTGAAAATAGAGGACGAGGGCTCTTTGGAT